AAGTTGATGTGTAGTCATAAACCACACGTGAAGGGTGAAACAGTAATGTTGATGTGTAGTTATAAACCTCACGTGAAGGGTGAAACAGTAATGTTGATGTGTAGTTATAAACCTCACGTGAAGGGTGAAACAGTAATGTTGATGTGTAGTTATAAACCTCACGTGAAGGGTGAAACAATAGTCAGTATGAATCTCTTTTTTTTTTTTCTTCTTTTTTTAGGAAAAAGATAAGGAGGTTCAGCCAATAGAAGTAAGCCAAATCCGTAGCGTACGTGCCATTAGTAGTAGAGGAAGATCTATTCCAAAAGCATTTGAGATCTTCACAAATGATAAGACCTACGTGTTAAAGGCGAAAGATAGCAGAAACACGGAGCAGTGGGTCCAGTGCCTGTCTATAGCCATGGCTCACAGTCAGGCTCGAGTTGCTCTCTGACAGAAGGGTGCATCGTCAAAAATAGATATTCCTTTAAAAGAAGACCAATATTTCATAATACATATGAAGCTGTTTTGAAGAACTAAGCCTTTTTTCCACTTTTGTTTCTAACTAACTATTTCTCAGTGTCTTTTTATTCTATTTCAAAACATTGTTTATTGTGGACTAGAGCTTATTTGTACTGATATTTTTTGTACAAAAAATTTGTGCCTAATTAATAACCATTAGTAGACTAACATTATATTGCCATCTATCAGTGTTTTACTTCAGTAAATTAACAAAATTATTAATTTACAGTGATTTTCATTAGATTGAAGAGTTTTTCTCAGTTTGCTAAAAGTTTCACTAATTTTTTTTCCAGCAGCGAATATAAGAAATTAGGTGTTTTTTTTCCATCACACGATCCTCAACTTACTAAATAAAAAAAAAACTATTCATCTGAAAATACAAAATTATTTTCAGAATTATGTGAAATTCTGTTACAATGGAAATTTAACATTCATTCCCTTTATAACTACTATATATATATATAAGTAAACCTAAAACTTATTGCACACTGTGGTAAAAGACTATGGATACAATTAAGGAAAATATACTATATTAGCGCAACCATCCTACCAGGGGTAGTAAACTTCGATGGTGTTCTTTTCCTGTAGCTAGTTAACTCCAGATTAAATTTTGTGAAATAGTTTTTCAGCTACAAAAATATATTTTAGAACATATAAGCCACCTTCTTAATTTGATATTATAGTATCGCCAGATGTAGTAATGTTGGTATTTATCAGAACTTCTGTTTAGTTTTTCCCCAGGTGTAACTTTGATAATAGTAGTAATATAATTACGGCATGCCACCATTGTAACATGGAAGTTAGTTCTATATATTTTTACTGCGAGTGTTACAATAGGCTTTGCTTTTGTTACCGTTTATGGACCATGACATTAATCTTAGCTGAATGTGAAAGCAAAAAAAAAGTTTTAGAAACAAACAAAAAAAAAAACTGTAATCTTGGGCATTTCCATAATTCTCGTTTGTTTGTGTTTTATTTTTTTTTGTCCTACTTGTCTTTCATGTATCCTTGCAGGTTTAACTTCAAGAAATGTTTAGTGTTATGAAAATACCTGAACAATTATTGAGGTTTTCTTATAATCTTGTGGCAGAGAGAGAGGTACAAGGAGTTTGTGAAGCCATCTACAATGTTAAATGTATAGGAGTCCTGAGAGTTATAAAATGATGAAACAGAATTTGTATAGAGAATATATGTTCAGATGACGGAAGTTAAGTGTTATTCACATAAACACTTGGGTTGGACAGATGATGGACATTCCCTTGGGCGTTAAATATGTAAGGAATAACACAAAATGTGACCAGTTGATAATATTGGTTAAGGTGTTAAACATTTAAGGGAGATAATATTGGTTGAGGGGTTAAACGTTTACGGGATAGCACAGAATGACCAGATTATGAAATCATCCAAAATATTCATTTAAAGAATACTACTGAATGATCAGATGGTTTTATAATTCACACGCAATGTCAGGATGATGAATTTATGTAATAAAGGTGTATTCCTACCGTATTGTTTCAGATGTAATATATAAAAATCATTTGGTATGTTACATACGAAGTTTGTAAAAGTGTTTCTTACAAGTATTTGTTTTATTATTTTCACAAGCACCATCTGAAAACTATTGTTTTTATGTAAACATAGGATTTTCATTTTTATGTATATTAGTGAAAGTGTTAGCTAGAGAAAACAGAACTTAGATTTTTACTATTCTGTTATGTTTTTTTTTTTTGAGCAAAGCCTTTTAATCTTTTATGAAGCATTATACATTGTCCTTGTTACATAGTCTGTGAAGTCAATAGCAATACTTGTCAGTATTTATTTGAATACACTTAACGTTAATTGTAGTAAATCCACTTTTTTTTTTGGTCAGGCAAGTCTCAAAAATACAAGGCTGATATAGTGTTTTTGACTTTACGTTACGTACGAGTCCTATGGCATTTTTGTATTAAATATTACATAACGTTTAATTTGTCCAGGATGTGTGTCTGAGTTTTATGGAAATCAGAAAATGTAGGGAATAAATCTTCTATGATATATATGTATGTACATAAGGTGTATAGATAGATAGATAATGCTCTGTCAATGCATTGAACTTCGAAGCATTGATTGGCTTGAAAATATATAAAGCTCTAATAATTTGAACATTGTACAAACATTGACCAAATAGAGTAGTCAGTGTTTGTGTGTGTGTGTGTGGATGTACGAACATTGACCAAATATAGTAGTCAGTGTTTGTGTGTTTGGATGTGGATGTACGAACATTGACCAAATATAGTAGTCAGTGTT